AGGTTAAGCCTGTCTAGTTCTTGTGCACACTGTCACAGCTGCTATGAGTTCATGTGTGCATTTGCCCTGCTGTGTCTAGAAAACATGGCTCCCTCATAGTCATCCATCACCTATGGCTAATGTAGTCTTTCCATCCTTCTTCCTCTTTAACGACCCCTGAGCCTTAGGAGGAGGGATGTGATATGGATGTCCCATCTAGCACTGAATATTCCACATCTCTTCTTTTCTGCACCTTAACCAGTTGTGAATCCTATGTCAACTGCCATCTACTGTAAGAAGAATCTTCCCTGAAGAGGGCTGAGGGATGGTCTACTCTACAGGTATAACAATATTATTAGGAGTTAGTTTAATACTGTCTATTTAGCAAAATAATTGTAGTAGGTTCTTACCTAGGGCATATGACCTGTCTAGTGCTGTGGGATGTCCTGTATGCTGTGAATATATGTTGCTGTGAATATATGTTGCTATGATTGATTGATAAATAAAATGCTGATTGGCCAGTAGCCAGGCAGGAAGGATAGTGTAGGCAGGACAAGGAGAGAGGAGAATGCTGGGTGGAAGGAGGCTGGGTCAGAGAGATGCTGCCAGCCGCCATGAAGAGAAGCAGATGTTAAGATACCGGTAAGCCACGAGGTCACATGGCAACTAATAGATTAAAAGAAATGGGTTAATTTAAGATATAAGAACAGTTAGCAAGAAGCCTGCCATGCCCATACAGTTTATAAGTAATCTAAGTCTCTCTGTGTTTATTTGGTTGGGTCTGAGTAGCTGCGGGACTGGCGGGTGAGAGAGATTTGTCCTGACTGTGGGCCAGGCAGGACCAGGAAAACTTCAGCTACAGTCTAGCCATAGGTTCTTGGTCCCATAATAGTTCCAGGTATTGGTTGGTTTCATCTTGTGGAGTCGGCCGTAAATCCAATCAGAAAATGACTGGTTAGTACCATGACATCCACACCACTAGTGCACTAGTGGTCATGCCTTTGCCAGGCCAATCACTGTAGTTCACAGGTTCTGAATTGGGTGAGACTAAAGATTACTTTTCTCCTCTGGTGGCACACATAGCTAGAAGGGTATATGAGCACTATAGAAGCTGGCCAGTAGAAAAGAAGCTTCCAGGTGAGTACTAAATTGGTTTCTCCATGTTCTATCATCCAAGTATGTGGCATCTTCAGCAAAAGGGTCCCAGCATCAAGTTCAAGTAACCAACAGCACTGGTAACAACCTATAGTTTTTGAGGGTCTAATGAATCTCATTGGTCAACAGCTCTAAAAGAGGTAAATAATTCCTGGCACTGAACTTTTATCTGTTAGTCTGCGGGGTCAAGTGGGACATTGGTACACTGTTATAGGGTAACTCTATTTTAACTTTTTATATATGTGTATATATGTGTGTGTATGTGTAGAGACATGTATACACACACACACACACACACACACACACACACACACACACACGGAAGTTTCTACAATAGGTTCCCTTAAGACTTTATTTATCCCCACCTGTATTCCCTTGCCCTGCCCTCCCATCCCTCATCCCAATTTAATTCTTCCTGTTTCATAGCTTTTGTCTTTTATGTTGAAGCTCACAAATTCCACCATAACACTGAAATATTATTTTCTTTGTTTGAGACCAGGTCTCACTATGTAGTCCTGAGGGGCCTAGAACTCACTATGTAGACCAGAATGGCCTTGAAAGCACAGAGATCTGTCTTCCTCTGCCTCATGAATGCTGGGATTACACACTTGTGCACAGACGAAACACATGCTGAAGGCACAACAGCCTGCCCAGCGGTCTTGGCAGAAGCTCATAAGTGTCTCTTCGGGACTGCTCTTCTATGGCCTGTGTGTTAAATGAAGCCCCAAGCCTGGTGGCTGACGATAAGAGCACCAGACCGGCTTCCTAGAGAACATCCTTCATCTGCTCCTTCACCGTGATTTGGTAACTCCCTACCAGCTGCCAAATGGGCTATAATACTCTGTTTTATTTTCTGAAACAGGCTGTTGTGAGCTGCCTATTGTGAGTGCTGCGAACTGAACTCAGGTCCTCTGGAAGATGACCAAGTGTCCTAAATACTGAGGCACCTCTTCAGCCCCTAGACAGGTATTTTAAAAGAACTAAATCACAGGTCACTGGCTTCCACTTTCCTGCTTTTCTGAAAGGTGTGAAGATTTTCAGCTTGCCAATCAGCAGCCAGAGTTAACACTCCCAAGAGGACACAGTCCAGCATTCTCCCACTCAGCTAAGAAAGCGTAGATCTGGAAAGGGAAGGAGACTTGTTCAAGGTTATATAAGAAGCAGAGGCCTCAGAATCCCTGGTCCTCAGCTCCCTGCATGCCACATGCTGTTCTGAGTAATCGGTGTTGGAAGCCAGGCAGGCAGGGGACAGCACAGGGAGAGAATGGTCCCAAGATTGGGTGCCAAGTAACTGAAGCACCTTCAAATAGCTTATTGATTCTTCACAACAAATTTACAAGGTATTCAGGCTTGTTCTTAATTTTTACAAATAAGGAAAACAAAGCTCTGAGAAGGTAAAAAGCTGGTGCAAGGTCACACAGCAGGAGACTAGTGGGGGATTCAAGCCAGTCTGCCTGGCTACCAAGTCAGAGCTATAAGAAACATGTTAGGTGCCGGGCGTGGTGGCGCACGCCTTTAATCCCAGCACTCGGGAGGCAGAGGCAGGCGGATCTCTGTGAGTTCGAGGCCAGCCTGGGCTACCAAGTGAGCTCC